ATTTCCATCCCTGAAGCCGGATGAGACGACCAGGCTAGCACGGAGTTTTGCCCGGAGCTCTTTGCGAGCTTCATTGTGCTCGCTTCCAGCCGGAATATGCCGGCGAGCATCGAAGAGACCCAATGTCTATGTTCGCGATTAGACTTACCACATGAGAAATTTCCTGCTGCTAGTAAGGATTACTGAATATGAGACCAGTGAGTTTCGACTGCATCCAGTGAGTGCTTACTCAAATGACACGGCAGCATACTTTGATAAGTATTCAGAACAGCTGGCTTCGTCAGTTGGCTGGTGTCAATGCGCTCACAACGTCGTCGTGGGCGTCCACCAAAATGCATCCTCAGGTCAGCACATACAAGTGAATGGTCGGTGTCCACACATGTGTAACAAATCGAGCGACAGTTCTGGATGCAGCCTCTCCACCGGTAACTTTTCGCAATGTGATACATTTGCGTTCCTAGCTGGTTCGAGGCCGGTGAGCGCCAAGTCACCCTTCGGCGGGTGCTGTGTCGGAAATTAGTGCTCGCAAGAAATAGGTGAGCATCTTCATACCAATGTAGTAACCGCTCACCGTTATCATTACGGGAGTCTGCACCATGTTGGCTGCCTAGATGTATTTCATCAGTGGATATATTTCCAAGTTGAGCGTTCAGATCCCCAGCCAGCACAACAGTGGCCGACTTTCTTCTGTGGCGAAGGAGCTCGTTCAGTTGACGAAAGAAGTCGTCTTTGACCGAGTCATCGCTCCAGTTTGTCGGTGAATAGGCAGCAATAACGAATAGACACCTGTTAGTCCCACGCGACTTCGAAGCTTTGAACGAGCCAGCCAATCGGACCGCACACTTCCGGCTACTGATTGGGATCCAATCAACCAGAGTAGCTTCAGCCCGGGGACTCAGAGCAATACCAACACCGGCTTTGCCGGTGCTCGAAGCTGCATCGTCATCGGATAGACGTAATGAGAAACTGCTGCTTGTGTCACCTGAAGGGGATCGCAGAGTGAGTACAGAGCTCGAGTCTTGCAGGCGGGTCTCCGATAAGCAGCAGATATCGATCGAGAGGGTCTCTAATGTTCGAGCAAGTGCTGCCTGTTGACCGATCTGAAGCATTATGCCAACATTGAGGCATGACATGCCATGCTTTAGGCATCATCTTTCCAAAGAATTTCTCATTCTCGGCTCTTCAAATTGGGTTGAACGACCCATTCCTTGTTCACAACGCTTCAAATTGACGAGACTGAAACTTTTCAGTTCTCAACGCTGATAAACGCCAAAAGTCGCCAAGTGATCCGAGCGCCAATGTTGTTAACGTCTGCACTATACTTAGTTCAATCACTGTTAGGTACTTTGGGATAATTTTATCCCAAAACTTAATGTGTTCTACACACATCGACGAAACAATTCGCAAGTTAAGGAAAGTATCGTTTTATGTCCTGCGGCTCAAGACACTTTCAATACCACGCTATTTAAGTTATAAATGTGGAGCTACATATCTTCTCCCTCATTCATTGTGCACCTCGTCTGTTATTTTCCCTGGTCTTCTTCAAAAAGACTTTACAGTTATTGTCCGTTCAATTAAGCTTATCGCTAAATGCAGTGGAATACCCCGAGAATCCCTTGTACACTTTATTGTTTTCAAGCATTTTGATGCATATCACAATTTTTCTTTGGAGATTTTAAATTATTCGGATCACTCACTCTATGATGAGTTATTGAAAACTCGTTCCTACTCTTCTACGAGCTCAAAACTTAAGGTACTGCATTCTCGCACCGGTTCTTTTCCTACCTCTGTTTAACCTTATTTTCACGTCTTCTAGTGAACTATACGAAGATCGTTGATGCAATTCGTAAACGCTTGCTTGAGTGAATATGTGTATAGTTTGTTTTGATTTCACCATTTGCCTGTCCTTTTAAGTATGCTTCTCGTACCCAAATTTTTCCGCAGTTCCAGTGTAAAAATGTGCTGGAAATATACTCCGTCGGGTAAAGTACGCTTGTTTTGACTTGGCTTCACTTGTTTACCTGTTGCTGTGGTACAGATTACATTGCCCGTACAACGAAGCATCTTTCGAACAGGATGAAAAACTCCATCCGAACTGGCTTGCAACTGGATGCCGGAAGCTGACCAACTCCTTCATAGCCGTTCAATAAATTGAGAGGATACACAACACCCCCAACCTGGCTGCGTCGTTCATTTATTAACCACATGATAATCGCTAAAATTTCATTCGAAAGTTATGCTTGACTTGGCCCAGACGAGCTGCCTAGTCCGAAGCAAGGAATTGTTATTGTTCTGCAGCTATGACCTATTGGTTAGTGATTTACACACGCACACACTATACACGTTAGCTAGCGGTGGGAAAAACCTTAGCTACTGCGCCGCAATACCTAAGAAAAAGGGAATAAAATGCAACAGATGCAAGCCAGCTGAGCTACCGGTAACGGATGGGCATCGTTCCGGTAAGCTACCTGCCGTCTACTACTATGCAGCAGAAAAAATATAATTTACTATACAAAATTATAAAATGCTAAATAATGAGATCGTGGTTGAAGGGGGAGGCTAAGACGGATGGGGTGGGACGAAGAAACTCACAGCACGAACGCCACCGAGGTCTGCTCTTAGCCCTATCAACAATTGTATCCAACCAGATGTGTTCATCGTCTTTCGGACACCAACCAGGGAGTGGTGACGCTCCAACCGAGGCCAGCTTCGAAGTGAGGGCATTCATTCCTCTCGACCAAGTTATCGCTTAGCCACCTCTCGTCTTCTTCCATCCACACCCGCGGCGCACAAACAACGCACGTCGCGGGAGACGGTGGGCTGGCATGCGTCACACGTGGCCGAGCTATCGGAGCCTGGTGCGTGAAATAGCGATGCTGAGTGCCGTAAACAATGCGTCGAACACGCTCGTTACTCACGCGGTGTTCCCACCAGACGTGAGCTAAATTGCGAACACACCGGTGGTCGAACGTCACTAACCTATTTTTGTCCTCTGATCTAAGGGGCCAAGTTTCACAACCGTACAGTAGGGTCAAACGTAACGCTGCATTGTACACTGTACCCTTCAGCGCGAGAGTGATGTCGCGCCCCAGCCATAAGTGGCGAAGGTTAGCAATGCGCCTCGAGCTTTTGCTTTATAGTTCGAAACCTCATCTTCAATCCCACAGGCGCTGATACAACTTCCCAGGTAGTTGAATTTTTGAATGACTCCTAGCTCATCCCCACCAAGGATCAGCGAAGGAGGCCGTCCAGGTCAATCTTGGAGGAACGCCTTGCACTTCGATAGTGTAATGCAAAGCTCGAAGCGGCTGACAGCCAGGGCTAATCTTTACTGCAACTTGGCACATCTGGGAGCCGTCACAGATGAGGTTAATATCGTCAGCATACTCCAAGTCAAGAAGCCGTTCTCCTGGGAGCAGATTCACACCTAAGTCGTGTCCTGTGAACGCGCTTTCCGTGACTTCCTCAACAGCGAAGTTGAAGAGGAAAGGTTACAGCAGGCATCCTTGTCTCACGCCGCTGCAGATATTAAAGGGCGACGACAGTTTGCCGTAAGCCCTTTCTCTGTACGAGGTTAGTGAGTTTAATGCGCGGATAATATTTACATATTTCTCAGGTACACCTTTGCTGAATAGACAGTCCTAAACTGCAAGTCTATCCACTGAATCGAATGCACATTTGATATCGAGGAACGCGACAATGGTGGGCCGCCAATATATGTGACGGTGCTCCAACAACTGACGCAAGTGAAGATGTAGTCAATGTAGCTACGACCTCGAGGAAATCAGGCTTTCTCTTCACGAATCTGGCTTTCACAAGTGCCAGTCAGTCTGTTAGGGATGACAGAGGCAAGCAATTTGGAGGCGATGGAGATCTGACTGATTCCTCTATGGCTGCTGCGTTCCGATCGTGAGCTTCCGTTGAAAATTGGGACCGTGACTGAGCGGCTCCAGTCGGTCGGGACGGTTTCCTGATCCCACAGTTTCACTAGTAACTCGTATAAATCATCCACAAGAGCAGCTCCCCCGAATTTGTGAAGGGCTGGATGGAGGTCATCTGGTCCCGCGGCTTTCTTTATCTTTAACTGTGTGATCTCACTTTCGTCTTCTGAGCGAGAGGGTGGATCCAAGCGGACAGCCCAGAGAGCGGGACGATCGGTGGACAGCATGTAATCTAACAATTCCAACCGATTAATTTGCCATTCAAAGTGCTCAGCCCAGCGCTCCAAGCGTTTTGACAACTTGTGTATAGGGTGTCCACTAACACCAGGTCTCCTGCTGCCTGTTTCCGTATCAGCCGGAATAACTTGCGATAATTACCTACGGCAGCGGCCATTTCCATCTCTGATACACGATGGGACCACCAGGATTCACGGTCTTCATTCAGGCTAGCACGAAGTTTTGTCCAGAGCTTTTTGCGAGTTACATTGTGTTCGCTTCCAGCCGGAATATGCCGGCGAGCATCTATAAGTTTCAGAGACTGAAAGAGACCCAATGTCCATGTTCGCGATTAGACTTACCACATGAGAAATTTCCTGCTGCTAGTAAGGATTACTGAATATGAGACCAGTGAGTTTCGACTGCATCCAGTGAGTGCTTACTCAAATGACACGGCAGCATACTTTGATAAGTATTCAGAACAGCTGGCTTCGTCAGTTGGCTGGTGTCAATGCGCTCACAACGTCGTCGTGGGCGTCCACCAAAATGCATCCTCAGGTCAGCACATACAAGTGAATGGTCGGTGTCCACACATGTGTAACAAATCGAGCGACAGTTCTGGATGCAGCCTCTCCACCGGTAACTTTTCGCAATGTGATACATTTGCGTTCCTAGCTGGTTCGAGGCCGGTGAGCGCCAAGTCACCCTTCGGCGGGTGCTGTGTCGGAAATTAGTGCTCGCAAGAAATAGGTGAGCATCTTCATACCAATGTAGTAACCGCTCACCGTTATCATTACGGGAGTCTGCACCATGTTGGCTGCCTAGATGTATTTCAGCACTCACCGCGCGCCCGGATCATACTCGGCCCACACGCGGACAAATTCGTCCAAGTGATGCGGACCCAAAATGGATGAATCTCGGGTCAAATAGTCGAAATTGTTCATAATCACGGCGACGAACAAGTTTAGCATGAGGAAGGTGCATAGAAAATTGAACACCACAAAATATGGGTAGGTGAATGAGCTCCCACAGGAATCGCCGGAACCTTCACATTCTTTACCTGCGGTGCAGTCCAACATGATCTCTTGCCAGTTCTCACCAGTCGCACTTCTGAAAGAGATGTAAGGTTCCACTTACTAGTTGCGAAGCTAGTTTAGATTTAAGGAACTGGCTCCTACGTTTTACCAAACGTGACTTTATCTAGACCTTGCCTATGATTTCAGTAGTATAAGTCTCACAATAGTCTTACTCTAAAAATATATCAACAATCACCTTTATCCTGCGTAACGACGCGTTTGTTACACATTCGGAGATTTGATTCTATCACAACGTAACAACACGGTAAACATATATTTATCTAGTGCTGATCAGGAAGCCATTCTTCATGATGTAAATATATAATTTATCCCCGAAGTACAAGAGAGAAGCCTAAACAGGCATTATCACTTAATAACAGATTTTTAGATGGGTATGAGATATCGCTTGTTTATCCACTGGTAGGCTGTTATACTCATAAGTAATGTGTATGTGTGTCCAGCTAGTTTCAATTAAGTCTGTTTGTAATAGTCGGGAAAACACACTCATTTTGAGTAGGATTGAAGGAGTAGAATCAACTGAACAAAACATGTATTAAAATATAGTACCGAATCGCTCGCAACCAACTGGACGTCAGAGCTAAAAGCTCCTCGACTTGACTGGTATTTTATTCCAATTAAATACATGCTAAGGCAAAAATTTGAATTACCTCTTGGAAACTCCATAATTAATAATACCTATATCTGTTATGAATAGGGTAAAGTCGTTCCGTTACTGTTGAAAAGCATAGCAGTAGATTTTGAGTTAGGCAGTATCCACAAAACCCCGAAGCATTCTAGACGCTGATTCATCCTGCAGGGAACCGTCAGAACTAGTGTCACCGACTCCGCTAGAACTGAACTCGTAGCCACACCATAATAGCGGCCTGCACAAACTGCCTAAGGTTAATAATAATAAGTCACAAAGGAAGGTGACCGGTCATCACGATATACAAGATTATTGCGATGGGCCGCGACTCATCCCCTGCCGCAGATGTTAAGCGCATTAAAGGCGAGTACCAATGGGATAGAACGGCCTTCCATTGCAATTCCGACCGTTTGAATGACGTTTCAGCGTAGAAAATACTGCGATTAAGGATAAAATCACAGTAAACTCTGTTTCTCAAGAGTTTATTTCCACTTTTCTCTGCTTAACATTAGCTATCAAAGTGTCAGTGTACACGAAGTGGTTTTCTCATGAATTTAGTAGTTGGTTCCCACATCAAATGTGCACTAGTCTTTTCCCTGTTTAAAGTTTGCATAGGTTAACACAGAAAATCCATTTTTATATAGGATAGAGTTATCGCTAAATGTTGCTGAGGTTGCGTCACCGTTTAGCTTCGTATCATTTTATTAATTTGTAGGAATAAAGCCCTTTTAGACATTGTTCCTAGAATCTTGTGTTTGCTTGCTTTGGAACAGCGTAAGATTATTTACCGGGTAGAAAGAGTTATCGGAGGTAACGAAATCAGTCATCTTATGAAAAAGTTACGCCAAGCTTTTTGAACAATAAACTTTGGTTGTAAGATCACCTCGGATCTATATGGTGGACGAAAATAAATATCTAAGCTATTCATTTGGCAACCTCCACTTATTTTGCTGTGACAGAATCCAAAGACTTTGCAGCTCCTACCCTTGCACACTGCTGAAAAAGGGATTTTAACCTTGTCATATAAATTTAACATATGCGATGTTGTAATCATCGTTTCCGTAACTGACCATATTCAAGCTGTCGAGAGATAAGCGATATAATTCCGTACAGTTACTGTAGCAGGATCTTAGACAAATGGCGATCAATATAGTTTCCTATGTTGCAAATGATTTGAACTCAAAAATGAACTGAACAGCGCAGACAGCTAACGGCAGTCGTACAGCCACAGTTGATTGCTTTGTACTTTCTGATTTAGAGCATTTGAACGGATAGGTCTAAGCTTCTTAGAGCACGACACTCCTGCTACACTGGAAATAGCCTCTCATCTAACGGTGGCATAAACTTGGCCAGCAGTAAAGTTGATCCGGTTACTCATATTCTGGATACGGACTTATTCCAGTTCAACCAACAGAGGTGATTTATAAGACGCTTGAATCAACTTTATTCCCTTCGTTTCTATTCACTCACGGAAGGTGTCCAGACTCATCACGTTGTTATCGCAGCTCAGTGGGATTCGTAGTTGAAATTGTAAGAGCACGCTTGTGTGCTTGAGGACACTTTCACGCCTGTCTAAATTGCCTTATGAGGATGACGGCGAATTACACTGCCGTGTCCGTAAATATATGCTGCTGACCATTTATACATGTCAGATACACGTAAGCATGATGCGAAAATGCAAAAAATTCGTTCCAGAACGAAAGTGATACATGTCTATCATTGAAAATAAGCCTCCGTGGTATGCACTGAGAATTTACCTTAAGACGGCTTTTGTTACACGCGAGAGTTTACCTGTAAGTTTGTCTGAACTGTAAAAGATTTTGCTTCATGATATTCATCATTAAAGAGAACGTATTCTCCTACTCTTATAAACTGATTTTCACGTCATAATCAGCAAGGTACTGTGCCTTAGTTTTAAGGCTGAAGTACTCGACGGCAGATGGAAAACAGAATTATTTTTGCCTAGCAAGGGCTAAGATTATCCCAACTCCTCCCAACTCCTCCCCGGACTGAGAAAGACAGCTAAACTATTAACAAGGAAACAGAAGGTTTTAGGGAGGAATAATTCGATTATTCATAAAACTTGATATCAGTCATACTGTACATAAATGGACACTTCGGTTCCCTTGTGACTACCTTCCAGCAGCCAGATTTCAAGATCCTCCAGATGCATTCTACTTGAGGTCTTTGGGAAAAATTGGGGTTTCTTCCTCTGCGTTCGGTCCATTCTACACCATTTTTAATGACTCAGTGTTGACGTTCGTCCGTGCTAGGCTACACCGATTTGACATCCTTCCTGCCCTTTCAATAATCGTCAACTAGCATGCGGCAGTTGTATCGTTTTCTGTTAGCTGTTCAAGCATCGATTCTGCTTGCTGTGTGGATAACCCGACAGACAATATTTGGTTCCTTGAGGTGCACCTGCTATACACTCTCAATGGTACAGGCCATAGAGGGCCGAATACATCATGCTTCTCCCGTTCGGCCCTCGCATTTGCTGTCAGCATGTGCCGGTGATAATCAAATGGCTTCAGTCCGCTAACCCCACGGCGGGTCTTGTTACCCAACCACCATCTACCGTCGCACTGAGGAGTTACTTTGTAAAGCCCCGAAGAACTACGAGGATCTGTTGATATCTGTTCTTTATCAGTGAACAGTAACGAGTGTACAATCGTGGCAAGTATTCCTAATGAATTGTCTAAACATAACTAACTCATTCGCTTAACAATCGGCGTAAGGCGCTCCAGCTGGTTAACTCCGGAAAGGGCTAAAAATCGGTCAACGGCCTGTGTAAATCTAAACATCCGGAAGACTGTGATTAGCATACAAAGACGAGTACATTTTCGCTTATTGTAGCCTTTCTTAGGAAGTAAAGGAAATCTAGTTGACGTGTGTTTATAAACAACGTACGCGTATCCTAGATACATGATGCAATAGAGAGTTTGATCCTGCTAATGCACTCCGAAAAACTCTCCCGACACAGAGGTGAAACATCATTTATTTCATAAATTGCAATTGTCTGATAAATTTTATTCATATGAGAGCTATCATTTTTATTGTCACTATTCTCCATCGCACTTCCGGGAACTACCTTTGGTTTACTTTTCTTCGCCAATTAAAGTTAGAGAAACACTCAAAATGCAAGGCTACTGCATTACATGCGATAAGGGCATTATTTTGACAGTAAAACTACTGACTACGTTTTTCATTAGCGTTTTCGCTAACCCATCAGACCGCCCAACGGAGCTGGTAAAGCAATGCTTCTTGACCCGTATAAACTCATTGTTCCATGTCTATTGTACATTTTAAGACAGAATAAATCTTGCTACTATTGATTAGTAAATATTTCAATAACCCATCTTTGTCGGATTGTAATAGGTAGGGCGATGATCTTTGTTTTAATCACTGACGCATGTCTCTTTCACCAGAAGAAAATAAGCCATTCCACCTCAGTATATCGCACGTGTCCTCCCAGCTAACCATGTCTGAACAGCTTTCTATGTATTGATCGAGTTATGATCACTGTCCTGTACAGAATTGTATAATCATGATCATTTATATGCAGACATACCTTATACTACCAAGAACAAAGTTTGTATTCATCAACTTAATGCTATACCTACATTTCAGAGGTTGCTTAAGTCATTGACTCTAAAATGTGTAACCATGGTTTCAACCCTTGGGGATTCGAGTGAAGATGAACACAGCTGACGAGCCTGAATTGGACAAAACTTCAGTCCGGTTTTACAGCAAGTGCCCTAGTAAGGCAACGGAAGAAAGATATTTTAAATGACAATACATACACGATCAGTACACCCCACGCTGGATATGAGAAACCTGCGTGCACCAAAGTTTATTAACCTTATATGCAGTTACGATTTGTCAAATCATAAACATACTAGCAATTGTGAGAAACGGTCTTTTTCGATATTTTCTGGAGTTGTGTATGCAACCCAAGTACGCCTCCAGAGTAAACAATTACTTGCAGACACAGAGAAAATCCATGCAGCTTCCTTCATGACGTATACCGTGATCACACGTAGTAGACGGTTGTGACCAACCCGTCCAAAGGACATTTCACGTGGATGACATAAGCGGCCTCACCTGCATGTACAGGCTGCGGGTTTAATCCGGTTTAAGTAAAAGCAAGTTGTTCTTATGAAAACTGCAATACAATAACCCCGAGAAGTCAATTGTCTGCCGAAAGGCTAAACAACACACCAGTTTATAGGTAGTTGGTGAAGGCGCGTAAAAATTTGAAAAGCAGCATTAGCTGTCCGAGAGTAGTTCCCACAAAATAGTCTCTGTTACTTCCAGATGGAAGATTTGGTAAACAAGGATTTATTTTAGATAAGGGAGCGTGGATTGTTACGCAAAAGCTCACCAAATGAAAAGCAGGTTGACGTAGTGCCTGATAAGGATAGTGAGCATATAGGTATAAGTGCTTTAAGCTGAATAATACACTAACTTGCTTTAAACTGCAGATGAAAACATCAATGGCTGGAACGGGAAATTCTAACACTAAGCCACCATGATAAACAAGTACCTGTGCTGTAATTGAGCCAGACTGTCTACAAATCATAGACAACCCTATTTATGACTATTTTCTAACTCATGAATATAGCCTTACCTGAATAACAGTGTCAAACCATTTCCAAATGTCTTGAAGTTGTTGTGGTAGTTCAGCTGGGAAAATGGATCCGTACGAATATTACCGAACACCTGAAAAGTGAACAATGGCCAGTAGGTTTCTGTGAAGGGAAGTGTTCGTGATCTTTTGCTTTAAGCTACCTGTAAACTAATCCATAGGTGTAGGGGTGTCATTACAGATTTTCCAAAAAAAGCTGGTCTACAATGCTATATTAGTTAAAACATATAACAAATATTTATGTATATATATATATATTTATTTATTTATCATATTTTTGTCTTTGTGTAAACAGAACATTGCATTATGATGTTCACTGGAGGTGATTCCAAACCATTTTGGTTTAGTTTTTCAGACTATTTCGGGTGCACATGCCATGCTCTCAAGCGGTTCAAAATGCTTCGTTTGACAAGCGGCCTTCAGGAATGGAACAACGCAAGTAACGTGGTTCAAATTATACAGCTTTATTCCACTTAAAACTATCACTCATAATCATATCCTCAACTCTACCAACCCTATCCGATTTGATACATCTGTTCTCTGGAGCCACAGACTTGGACAAAAGCACAAAATCCATCACAAAATTTTAACAAACAGCTAACGCAATGGTGTTACCCTGTGCAACAACGAAATGCAACGACTACTAATTAATGAAACTGAAGCTCTTCCTGGGCAATTTGTCAACGTTTTCTGGGAGTGAACTCTAGTTAGTAATTCAAAAAGCCCATCGGTGGATGCAAAGCAATATCAGAACTTGGTTACACACCTCATCAAAATCTATATTGCTCAGTAGCTAGTCCAAAGGCGATCGACTAATCGAGACGAGGCAGCGTAGGCCTACGTAGCGTTCCCTTTGTAAAATGCTAGTTTGGATAAAGTGAGAGTCAGTAACATCCACTTTATTTGAATCACAGGATAAGGCTCGTTCCGTCACTTTCATTATGAATAACTGCCAAGGAACTTTGAGTTTCGCAACCCGGATGGTCAACAACCTCAGAAAAAGACTTCTTCCAGCACTTAGGAACAATCGCGCTCTTTACTCCGGTAGCTCCTACTACAGAAGCGATACAAAGATCAGGTTCACCTTCACTTAGAGGAACAACGTGTTACCCCGCCGTGGCTAGTGAATCCCACAGCGGGTAGGTTGTATGAGGCACCAAATTCCAGTTGGCTTCAAACAGCACCTGTAGCTGCTCTATTTATCGTGAAATATATTGTTGGATGGATAAGTTGGAATAAACGGGCACAATTTTAACAATCAATGTATGGTAGGCCAAGTACTTGTAATTAAGAAGTATAACAGAGGTGCATTGAGATGACTAAGCTAGGTAAAAAGAAAATAGCCACATCTAGAAAACACTTACTTGCATGCCAATGATGCAGGAGATAAAAAATAATATTGCTATCAATAGACAAACATATGGAAGTGCTTTGATTGATTGAATAAAAGTCCAGAATATGATACGTATACTGTAGCCCTGACGGAGTAATTTGATGAGCCTGGCAGCTCGAAACAGTCGTAAGAAACCGAGACTGAGAAAAGCTGATTCCTGCAACGAATAAACGAAAAGTGCACTGGTTACTTAATAAAGTGAACAGACATAGATGAACGTACAGCGTATGTCAGAAACGTTCAAGGGCTGGTATCACGAAGGATATATTTCAAAACCATAGCAGACACAATGTTTCGCTTTCGAAGTTATCCATCTGAAATCTAATACACTTGCTCATCCTTGTCTACCACACTTGTAGGTTTCTCATAGAAGCAAGTCCCGTTGATGGAACCGTTGAGAGTGGAGAAATGCAATGCTCACACGAAGCTGGGTCAAGTCAATAATAAGTTTGTACCAACGTGGCGTTGTTCATTCTTGACCATTAGACTGAGCGCCAAAATTTTTAGTAGTAGGGTCCGAGGTCGTCAAGACCGAATAAGGCAAAACTGCCTAAAATCAAGTTCAAAGCCATGTTGATAACCCACGTTGCTTTTAAGGGTACCGTCCAATGGCATGTCTTGCCACAAAACCAGACGATTAATCAGCAGTACAGTGCAGACTTTGCCTAGTTCAGTGCGTGAGTATAGGCAGGAGTTGCAGATGGCCAACTCGTGCCTGTTCAAAATGACATGAGAAACCGGTAGCTCCTGGTGGAGGAAAACGTCGCCGTATTAGTGCAACCTCTCTGTTCCCCTACATGGCTCCATGTGATTGTTCCCTTTTCCCCAAGCTCAAGGGGTCATCAAGGGAACCTGCCCTTAAACTTTGGACCGCATTAAAATGGCAGTGACAACGGATTACCGGAGGATCCGGGAATACTACTTGCATGAATGCAACCAAGGGTAGCAGAAAAGGTTGGGGATGTGTATTATACTAGATGGGGATTACTGTGAATGATAAAACTATTAGCGTGAATATTGGGTTTGAAAAATATCTTTGTGGCATTAATTTTGGAACGTATCTTACAACCTGGTAGACTCTGGGGAAGACAATGTGTCTTCAAGGAAGCTAAATTCCCCAACTTCACTAATTGAGCTCTATGAGGGATAAGTGCGCACTTGATGCCAAGTTAACAAGCACTCTAAGAGCTGGAGTTAAATAAACATAACAGAATATGAGTGCCGCATGTCAACAGAAATAATAAGGAATCTCCTTTTAGTGGCCATAATGTGGACTGACACGCTCAAACATTATGCATACTCCTTAAGGCAAGTAAGCTTCATGTATATACTAAAATTATGAAACAAATTAGGGTGGAATGCCAAAGTTTGATTTTGTGTTGAATACTGCGAAAATTGAAAAGTGGCAGGTTTCGTAGATATGGGTACTGGACAACTATAATGTGTAGGTAACTTGGCACTTTACAACTTCACTTATTTGTGATCGTCATCCTAATTCTTGGGTGATTACGGTCAGGCTTGCAGCCATCGTTAAGCGATACGCGTTTCTGCGCGTTTCTGCATATCCCACACCCCCGATAGATAAGCACTTCCGCAAGCGACTACTAGAAGCCGCTGAAGAAATTGCGATCCGGCTGTATGAACCGGAGCTGTGTTCAGAAGGAGCTAAATAAAAGCTTGGGACTGCCCTGGCACAAACGGCCAATGACCTCTGACCCACGGGTTCACACGCGGTCGATTTTCGTAGCTTAACAGGCACTGCTGTCAGCAGCCAATTAAATCGCTCCAGTAGTAACGACTTGTAATGTCTGTCTGCACATTTTGATTTACATATAAATGCATAAGCCTGAAGATGAATTATCCAAAAGGTATGTTGGCTTACGTTGATATATGATCATACTATAGGATTTGTTAAAACTGTGAAGCAAGTTTCAGTGAAACGTTCAAGATATTTAAGTACACGTTTAAAAATACTCCGGCTTGAAGCTATTCATACCTAGGGTTCAATCATTAATAAATGGAAATATTTGCTATGCTGAAGACCAGCATTGCCTGTGTTTCTTCGATAAGCTGGATAGGCATTTTACGCCTCCTGTTGGTAGTGGATAACATGCTCCTCAAAATACGTGAACATCATTCGCAATACCTTTGTATGTTTGTATTAAAGGGTCTTACAACTCGTACCATTAAGATTTTTAATCGGCACCTATATGCTGACTAATTGGCGACAATAATTTTTAAATCTCTCTTGGCTTGATATGTTGAATTTGCCGTCCGTCTATACTGAAGCTCAGCATGATACTATTGTTTCCGCTCGCTACCATGTATGCCATATATTTTTCAGTTGACCGTTCATCTGCCTACACTATCGTTGGACAGACATCCGCCCTCCTAGTACCCCCTTAGAATAGAATCAATCTTTGCTATACATTAGATAATAAAAAATGGTTGATATTTATCACTGGTTAATAATTTACGTTTGTCACTACCATCATCCAGTGAGTTACCGTACGTAATTCTGCTTTGATTTAACATCTAAGCAATCTAACGCCATCACAAGGTCCATTGTACCATGCATTCATTCGCTTTCAGTTAAGACTAATGCTCATCAACTTGGGCTCCAGCCTGCTACCGACTGATAACCTTTTCTGACTGGTACACCCCGAGGTTTAGACTACCCTTTTTCCGAATATTTCACTAGATTCCCCTAACCCTGGTATTTGGGATCTTTCAGTATTGATACCCTTGAAGCAGCTATACTATTCATGTACTGCGTCCGACGTGGGTGAACACATGGTCACTTTATTTTAAGCAAGGGATCAATGCATACTGCAACTGAAGAGTCTTTTAACCTATGGGCAGGCATTTCCAAATTACATACTTTAATGCTATTTTACCTAGCTTTATCAAAATTATCTGACTAATGGACTGGCTGGCGAAGCAAGTGTAAAGTCATGTTACTAGGCAAATTTGTCCAGCCAGAAGCGCAGTGGGATAGATTTAAAAGAGCGTACAATGCAATGAATTGCGTTTGCTCAGCCCGAACAGACCTATGCATATGCATTCGATTAAGGCACTGGCGACGATGCAGTGCATATTCCATTGTCTATACAAATTCACTTGTAGATTTGGAGACAAGTATATTGGTCGCAATAGAATAAATCTACTGGTCAAGAACAATGAACGCATCCCAAGTACTTGCGTAGCCGGATGGGATTCGGGACGACGGAATAAGTTTAATCAGAAAACCTAGGTACCTCGACAATCACAAGGTACGTTCTGGACACTATCCACTAAGTTAATATTAGTCATAATATGCGGACAGTAACCCCCATGCTTGGGCTACCGGAGACCATTGTTATCGACCGCGAACACCTCCGCTGTGAATGCAAAACAAATGACTGTGCTATAGGCCACCACAGGTAGCGCATGCACTTTGTCTTGCACGATCTTTTATGAAGCTGTTTTCGTTCTTTTATCGTTTTACATGCTTGTGATTAATAAAAATGCACAGAATGACGAATTCAACGCATGAAATATATTCTTATCTAGAATAATAGGTTGAATTGCATATTTCTAATAAAATATGTTAATGAAAGTAAAGTGTCTCACCTGCAGTTCTGAAACCAAAACATCTGTAATGCTACCAATTACAGTAATAAAGTCAAAAATATTCCAGCGGTCCCGAAAGTAGTTCTGTGTGATAGAAGAGAGCAGAGTGGCGAAATTATCGTGGAACAGGTTTATAACAATAAATCGGTAGGCACATATTTCAACAGTCAACGAAATTTCATGGTTGATTTATTAACCAATTTCTTTAGTGGAATCTATTCAACTGCACCAAAAATAAATGATGGATCAACGAAATAAACAACTTCACTAACGGGACGATGAATAACCACACTCGCTTCAAGACAGGTTACATCAAAGAATAAAGATAGTATGCTGCCTTTACGTAACCTCACATGCCACGAGAAGTGAGAACTTTTATATCGGCCAGCTAGGACTGTGAACGGTTTTAAATTCGTACACTCACCTACCCAATTCGTTTCAGTCCAGTAACCATGGTGTGTTACTTTCACCATTTGGTGTTGATATAGGAAAAAGAGATAGAGATGAAGAGACGCCTTTACGAGTTAGCTTCTCAACACGGAGAATGAAGTGACGCACTTTGGTATTTCAACTGTTGTAAGCGGATTCGGTTTACGTGAGCCAAGTCTAACGGATAATTTCCATAGAATGCCTACTGAATGATCGTTTAATCCTCTCGAACTTCAGTGGTTGCGCGATTTTCATCACCTTCCATGGGATCCAAACCTAACACCAGATTCTTATATGGCAGCAACACAGGTCACTGAGCAATGCAAAGGAGAGTGGATTCTAGACAATCAACTATGTACGGTTAGATGTGATAATCGGTTGCCCAGTAAAACCACAATTGTGGTAACAAGCAGTGACTTCTGTATGTGCAGAGGAGTGGCAAATGAGCGGAACTGTCACGTTTGCTGTGCACACGAATCCTTGCCAAAAGTATTATTTCAACGAGGTAGAGAATTCGGTAATCACCGAGCTCCGTATGAGTATGGGATAGGGGTAAGCAAAATAACTCATTCTTTCACAATTATGGCCAATTTGTGTATCGAAGTCTTAGTGCGGGCCTTATTTTATTATCTTCTCCCGAATCGGCATCGGAACGGATTCAAATCTGTTACTACCAATACTTCAGTGAGTTGAGAGGACACAACGGAGTCAGTTAGACTAATAGTCAGTAGAAATCAAGGGAAGACCAATTCCATTATCAGTGTGATACCACCAGAATGAGCACCTTATCCTGTCCTCGGCCGTTGTAGTCAGGAGAGCGCTGAATCTCATGAGGCCAACATCAATGAAAAACAACAGCAATACTGGCAAATTTGCTATTTTAGGTCCATTAGATATCAGCTGGAAAAGAGAAGCTGTACGTTGAAAACCAAGCCATAAAGTACTCCAGAAGTCTATGTACAAAATACAGAGAGAACTACGAAATACAAAGCGTCAGTGAAAGACAGGTTGCCTCTCTCACTCTTAGATAACGTTCACAAAATCGTTGCGGTAACATCTAGTGTACCTGACACGAACTAAGCACTGAGAAATGTTGCGAAGCACTCCTGCAAGTATGTTGCAGCAGCTTGTGTTTTGGTCAACTTATATCTCCCAAGCAAGAGATATTTGCTATCAACAAGTTTTCTTATTTAGTTAATCACAGTGGATGAGATTGTGCTTTACTGAGCATATATAGCTTAACATATGCTAGTGGTTAAGCGTTAAAGTTGTCAAAAATGTGAGATCAGGTTTGACATCAAAACCAAGTGTCATATTATAGCTGTACTGATGTGAAACTTTCAAAACGACTCAAATGCATTTGCCCACCAACAACCAAGAGTAGACCGGTTGGTGGAAAAATGTAATCTGATGAGGTGAAAAATCTGCAAATCTTGACCGTTTGAGCTGCTCATCTTCGCCAATAAGACAGCTTGCGATTTATTATGACGTCCCTTAGGTGAAATACCCTAGGGCAAATCAAATTGGTATCCCCGATAGCGTTACACAGTGATACCTGACTTCCTGGAGACATCCTCAAATTATATAGACCTTAGCGATCCATGCTCATGCACTTAGTAACGTAAAATAAGCCTTAATCTATGGACTCATGGTGGTCGTTAACTGCTTTTCAAGCCTCCGAAGCATTGTTTCTAAGCAGATAGCCGAGTTTGAATTTCATTATCTACCAGGAAATTATTGACTTTTCGTGTAAGACTTATGGGTAGTCTAGTGATATTTTGGATGTTTACTGATTGTCTAGGTGAACTTAGTTGCAACGATTCCCCTCAAAAATTATCAATTCCAGCAGCTCAACTCAGTTTATCTTGCACTATTTGACTCTAGTTCGAGTTGCTGCAAGTTGATCATCAAGTGCTTTTTGTAATACTGCATGTTAATTTAGGGCCTAAGCTTGGGGACTATGTATTGAGAAGGAATCAGTCTGTAAACTCATCCACTCAGCCTAGCGGCGTCAGTGGTTCACTGTCTCTTGCGATAACAATGTAGTCTCTATGTCTACTCGTAAAAGGAGAGAAGCAAGTTGCAACCCCACACAAAGCAGTCCGGCAGGCATGTGTCTTGGGATAATCAACCTCGTGATCATAGCAAATGGATGGCGCTCTTCATGAAATAGCAGGGAGATGCAGATGAATCGGAGCCACGTAGCAGCTATGTGGTCGTGTTCTCCTTCGCCAAACGGTTCAACGGAAAGTATTGCGCGCCCAAATGTCTTAGATGACTGTGAATATGATTTAAATCCACCGTGGCGCGCTAGCGAAGTACGTCCATAGTGCATCGACCTAGGATCATCCTGGGATATTTAAACATAGAAGTATTTCTGGATCTGAATCTACAACTATAAGGAGAACAGCTATTAGACATTCGTTTTTGTGAACTAGCTTAATAGCTATTCTTTTCTCTTCCTATTTTAGACTTCTTGACTGTTGTTTAAACACTCTACTGGGTTAGCCCGATTGGTCCACACACGTCATTGTTAATGGGCACTCATCGTTTTGTCCTGTTCAGCGGTGCAATTTGCAAGAACACATTCCATTGCTTTTTTCTTCTCATCACTGTTCTACTTGCATGTGTTAAAGGAATATTTGCTTGTTACACGATGATTGTACTAGTTTTTAATTTCTGGGTCTGCATTTCTTATGCTAGTTTGTTTCGTGATATTTGTTTAACACGTCCTTTCGTTTTTCTGACTGGCCAGTGCCCGTCACTATAAATGGATGTTCGCTTTACGCTTGGAGTCCTATGATGCTATTTTTAAGGACATATGCGATTCGCTCTTGAGTACACGGTTGCTTATTCGCCCGTTGCATTTGACCTTTTTCCTTCTGTTGTTTGGCACAAGTGCAATTTAGTAGCTTCCCTTCATTTTGCCTTCAAAACTGTATAAGCAAATGTGATTTCATGTATACAAGTCTCTTTCTGGCTCCTCTTTGGACTTGTTCTTGCGATCGTGGGGTGAAGGCGTCAGCGGTAACACAACAACAATTAAGTCACTTATTGCATCTTTATGTATGAAAATTATTGTGGATAAATTACGCATGATGAAGTGTAAAGTATACTGCCATTAGGCGCGTGCCGAGCATTATGGGTTGTAATGCGATTCCATCAACTAATATCGTGGACGATGAAATTTTGTATAAAAATATACATAACATTTTGAATGCTACTGCTAGGTGGTGGCAATTGAACGTTAAACGTTGCTGGATGTGTTTCAACCACCATGCTTCGATTGTAGAAAAGAAGCCTGAACTTATCGAAAAACATACCGAATTAAAGGAAAAACCGTGGTGGTTTCAACGAAAGCAAGGAGACACAGCTGTAACTTTGTAACTGACTGCACTATATCTGCAAAATGCCACAAAACGCCATTACCTTTTGTTACTCATCAACGTCTAACTTTCATCACTAGTGGAAATGAAGTTGGAACTACAATAAACCTTTTGGATTTATCTCTCCGACTGATTAAGTTTATTAACAAAGTGGAGTTTGACAACTTTTCACTGTATTCATCTCTTTTGATGCCAGCATCATCTTGGAGCTGCCACTAGAAAACTAGTTTGCATTTAGTTGAAAAATTTAACATATATTTGGCTCATAAACAGAGCTCCGAGAACTAAACGGTATAGAAAAAAAGAAAGTTTCTTCGAACATGGTTGATAATGTCAGCTCGTATCTGCAACATCTGAACACTTCCAGAAGGTTTTAGACACATTTGTTTCTCACATAGGCTTAGTGAATTCCCAAATATAGCGAATGTCTTCTCAGCTAGAATCCTATGCTGAAGAATAGCGGGTAAGAACTAGTTTGTCCCCACTCTGTGTTAGGTCGCTGCTAAACCGTTAATTCGGACTGTAACACTAGATTCGAAAATCTAAGAGGAATCTTAAAAATAGTTCTTTTTAGTAGCTGGACGAGTTTAGTGTTTAACAAGTTAACGTTTATTTTCAGAATGTTAAAATATAAAAGCTATTTTGTCATTTCCTTTCTAAGTCTCTCAGCGAGTGGTTTAAAGCTATTTATAATAAAACATGATTGCCGATATTCAATAGTTAAATACAGCCCCGAAGGGAAAAGTGTGCACAAAATTTTCAAACGTGGTCATACAAATTCATCAGGCAAATATTGTTAGCTTACTTTTGGTCCAAATGCTGTTATCTTGAGCATACACTCGATGGAGAACATTACGGTAAATGCGGAATTGAAATACAATAGTGTATTGCAGTAATTGTGATAGACTTGTTGCTCCGTGTCCATGGTAGGCCCAATGAAAGACTTGTGTTCATGTCGATGATACTGGGGGTAAATGGAAAGTGTAAATAGAACGAAGTTTCATTTCGCCTATGACAAGGTAACAGAGTGGGTGGTCAGTGAACACAGGGATTCCGTCATGGTGTCCCATGAGGCCCTTAGATTTACCGATTCTTGCATGTCCCCTGGGTGACAGAATTGAGTCACCAAACTGCCGTCACTTCAACATGGCGTATCCACACAAGTTTGCAGCTTCTTTGGTCTAACGACCAATTGTTTTCAACAAGTTTGAATGCTGCGGACCACACACATGTTAGCACCCATCACGTTGGATTATGTAGATCCGGTGCGTGGTGTTTAACAAATAAACGGGCACAACGATCCATCAACAATATGTACATAATGCCTCTATGTTATGGAGAAACCTTAAGCAGGCGCGTGTGTGGTCCGTGCAAATTTGTGCAACTTGCCATTTAATTCAGCCCAGTGGAGAAATTTCTAACCTCGAAAATCAAATTACCCGAGGAAGCGCACGTAGGCGCTTTAAAAATGCACTTGAGACGAGTTAGGTGATTGTCAAATACGGACTTATGCTGAAATGTAAGTCGGTACTTGAAGAAAATTAACTTGTCTGACAATGAAGTATGTAGCAGCGAGGATAGGTAAAACCGCGTAACCCCTAAACACAATACTATCTATTTTAGTCCTTATGCAGGGATTACTTTGCGTATAAGTAGCGGCAAGTGTTACTTGTTTTACCCAAGTCTCCTCAACTCAGATGTTAAGGGGCTTAAATAATTGGTTTCTATGCAGTTAGTGGAATTGTGTAGGAGACTTCGGTGTGCGAAAAGTCGAATCGACGAACGAAGCACGCTTTTTTCTTACTTCAGTTGGGCCTGAAGAGGTTAACATCCAATTACGTCAGTCGGTGGTAACATTGAATTTCCTGGTTAGGTTCCAAATAAAGGGATGTTATTAGGAAGTAGAAGAAAAATTTCCCTGCTCAACAGACTTATCCAAACTGCGCCGATAAACATATGAAATGTGTATGAAAACAACGCTATCATCCAAAGATGTATAGGTTTCAGGTTAATGTTATCTAAACGACCGATTGGCGACAATATATATATATATATATATATATATATATATATATATATGGTTGGCGGCATCCTGTTTCGGATTTGCCTGTCACTGTGGTCAGCCACAGGACGCCTGCGCCTACAGAGGGACCATGGATGGCTTGCGCTGCACCACACACAGCTCCAAACACACACCCCATATCCAGTGTAAACCCCAAGGAATAAGACCGGGAGGCATGTGGATGGGAGCCACGTTTCATTAACGGAGCCGGCCCACACTCCTTCACAGGTAAACACGAGCACGCTGTATTTGGGGAATCAACCCCACACAAGACAGTGGCTGGACCGTAGTCCGCTTCACACTGAGTGCATGGAACCACGCTTCGAGCATAGCACGGCCAGAAGGACCGTGCACCCCGTCCCCTCCAGCAACGACCAACTGTCTCCTGGAGTCAGATGGATGAGGTAATGGGTAATAGACAGGTGGGCACCTTGTCAACATGCACATCAAGCGCAGCCACAACTGGGATGTTAAGCAACAGGCAATCATTCGAAGTGCCGATTTCGAATAAAGCAAACGCATATGACGACATAAATGCTCAATAAATGCGCATATGGAAGAAACTAGTTAAATGTGAATACGCGATAAGTACAAAATGTCCGAAAGTTATTTTTAAAATATACCGCGCGATGAGATTACGCAAGTTTACCCAAATTTGCGTGAGCGACGTGTGTAAGTTGGGAGAAGATTATCAAGTACGCAAAACAAGAAAAAAATAAAATGTAATGAATTTTATCCACATTAAAAAGACCTAGTTTAAGTGTAATTTGGTTCAGCCCAACTGCGGTAAAGAAGCATCATGAATACGACATCAGCCTCAGAATGGGGCATATAAATATGTATATATAGGACGAAATTTCTCACGCTGGATACAGTAAGACCAGTATCTCATAACCAGAAACGTGTTGTACGGCTATTTCATCCTTTCGGAAATCACCAGTAGTGCGCTGTACCACCTACAATAACTTAGTCACGACATTCGTTGCCGTGACCCGTAGCTCGGTGGTCTCAACAACAGACTGGTAACAGTCGGTTCGCGTCCTACAGGGTTGGATGGAAAGCGCGATGCTGACAATACCCGAAGGGATACAACGCGAGTACAGTGCATTGCCGGGCGTGTGCTGGCTGCACGACAGTCCATTTGTGATAGGTTTATTCCTGTCCAATTTAAATTCCACACTACCCATTTGTAATATATATTTATATATAGCCACACGATACAGGGATAAGTTTCACACAACATGATGATGTGGCAGTCACGGAGAAATATCAACCATACCCTATCCGTTGAATCGAGCAAGGTGGATCGCGACGATTGTACTACTGACTATGCCTCCCTAGTTCATTACTCCCTCCAGGGATTTTCATCTTTACATCCATGTTGTTTTGCATATCTCATCGCGTCTACTTAGTTGCAACCATTTCAACGAGACCGGATGTTAACATGGTACGTCAGTTTGCGTACATTTATGAATCCTTGAGTGGTGCCCCCGTGCTACTTTTGAGTTATTCCCACCAAGATGATCAATGGTTGGAGGTCAAAGGAACTCAGTATCTTGGTCTTCCAAGTAAAGGTTTGGAAATGGGATGACGTCCACTTTTGTAAAACCGAAGTGCTGCCACATCCGCTGCTAGCCGTTCAGGCTTATGAGCCAAAAGCGTAGATCGAGGACCTTAATTTTTCTCCTGTTTAAGTCTGGGCGCCTCGGCAGTTCCTTAGCCCACGTACAGCCAGGATTATTTCCGCAAGCTTGAACCACATGCTACAGTGGCCTTCACGCGGCATTACAAGGGCGGCTTTACCTGCTGCTTGCAGCAGAGCGGATAAGCGACGACAGCATACAGCGAGTACATCCCTTCTTTCTTTTCTATCTGTTCCTGGTACTTCCTCCCAATCTCCAGTACGAACTTCCATTCTAGAATTCCCAGGTTAACTGACTGCAGCTGCAATGCCACTGCAGTTCCACCATCTGTAGCTACCTTCACACAACCCACACTGAAGCCTACCTTCAGCAGCTAGTTATAAGTTCACAACATCCCGTTTCCCTGACGGCGTTCAGCGTCCTGCACTCGAACGTATCTTGTGTGTCCGGAAATAGGTTCAGTGACGCGCACGGGGTTGTTGAATTCACTGCACCCATCCTGCCCTCTTTCTATTAGCTGCACACATTTGAAGACGTTGATACAATAATCACAGGTCAAGCTGTGGTGAGCGTCATTCTCAATTCTAAGGCTGCGGCAATGTTGGTTGATTAGACTCCCGTGAACAGTCGTTTATGTGTAGTCCGTTTGACTACATCAACTAAGGTTGATTCAGGAAGTGGCACTAGATGTTTATTGTTGGTGCTTGCAGCGTATGCCCTCACCGACTGCAGCTCTGAGGTTGAAAAGGACGCCTTCTAACACGAAAATAACACCCTGATTAATAGTGTTATCAGTACAGGTAACCTAGCACTTGCAGTGGATATGAGCACACCATTAGTTCATCTGAGCACTTCAGAAGCTCAGATAGGAGGCAGTATGGACCTAACTGATGGGACGCACAACAGCAAACATCTGTTGCAACCGGGCGAGGAACAGCAGCTGCTTCTTAGTAACATCGCTTTCAGGAACAGTGGGCGCCGAACTTCCACTAGGCCTTCCCCTATATCTGGCCAGAAATCGACCCAAACTGATCACTAGCCGTAAGTTACTACTGACGCGGTTCCATTCTAAATATTCGCTTATTTTGGCTTAAATGCATCGAATCTGATCATGCTTGGATGAGCTGTCGTGTTCCCATGAACTTTAACGAGTGGCTTACCAAACAACTCCCTCGATTGCCTACTGAGAAGTTGTCGCAATCGTCGATCACGCATACAAAACACAACGCCCTGTGTACCTAACCTTCACCTCCATCTTAGTGATAGTAGGCTTCAGTAGATTAAGATGACGACCGCGTTGCCAGACGATGGAGCCTCTATTTGTGGTACTATGGATCGTCACCACAGTAGCCACTTGATATCCGAATGTTCGGTGAACTTGTTGAAATCTGGAAGAAATGCCTGGCTGGCTCTGAACACAATGCAACCCGATGAACTATTGGACTCGAACTAAGTTAGACGCTGCGTGTGACAAGGACGCGTCGTGACCCAGTTGATATCAAGCTAGGGAAAAGGCCACAGACGTAGGTAATTTTTGAAAGTTCCTCCAACTGATCCGCACCACTGATCCCAGGAAAGCGGGTGTCAGTGAGATAAACAGAGAAAAGGTAGTGCCCTGATGCACAATGAGGTGAGCGTATGCCATGTTGGGCAGTGCAACTTCAAGTGTAGTTCTGTTGGAACTCTGATTTTTGATAACATTCCACTTAAGTGCTGCATGCTGAGACAAGGACAGCTTGTTTTGTAGTCCCAATTAGAGGTCTAGTTCCAAAAATTCGGTTGCAACCCTTAGTCGTTTCTTGCCACTGGTCCACATTCCCTCCCACCTACATACTGATGTAAGTGAGGTCCTCTGCAAAACACCTGCCTCACTGTTTAAGCACTCAGGAAGGAAAAGACCATCCCAGATACCTGGGGATTATAAGGACAATGTACCAAAATGCAGTCGCGACGACTGCGCTCACCACGCAGACATTACGATAACGCCTGTGGTGACAAAATCATTAGACTCAGTTCTTGTTGGTCGCCTTAAGGTGGGATGGGTCTCACTGATTAGGAAAGAATACGCAGTTTTTCGCCCAGGGCTTGGATGTGTGAACCATACATTCACATTGCGGCAAGAACATAGAGGCGCCATGCGTACCGCAGACGGAACACCGACTAGAAGAGTGTGTTCAATACGGTCGATCGATCCATTCTGCTCAAAATTCTCGCGGGGAAAGGTGTTCACATGAAATATGGAAACAAATTAGATGCTCT